GAAGCTTGCATCTTCTGCCTGAAAAAGCTGCAGGCACTCATCTCCAACCCATAAGAGAAGCCAAAGGGGGTGCAACCTGAAAAGCCACAGAGGCAGAGTTTCCCTTGCACGAGTGTTCCCTGGATTCCAGACATGGAATCAAAGGAGATTTCTTTGTAGCTTTAAGATTCAGTGACTGCCCTGCTGGGTTTAGGACTTGTGTGGGGCCTGTTATCTCCTTCTTTTGGCCAATTTCTCCCATTTTCAACAGGCACGTTTACCCAATACCTGTACTACCATTGTATCTTGTAATTGAATAACTTGTTTTGATTTTATAGGTTCATAGTGGAAGAAGATGAGTCTCAGATAAGAATCAGGACTTTGGACTAGACACTGGAATGAATTAAAACTTTGCAGGACTATTGGGAGGTTATTTTACAATGCAAGAAGATTTTAATTGTATTTTGTAATATGAAAAGCACATGAGATTTGGGGTTGCCAGGGTCTCCCATACTTGAAAGTAAGTGTTGTTTTCCTTGACAGGGGCTGGGGGCGGGGATGCACGTGCAAACAGGATGATTCCAAACTCACTGTAGAATTATTCCTATTTGATAGACACTGTCCAAAGCCTCTCACAAAACCAGGAGAGCAGTCCTGGGGCCACCATCACAAAAATCTTTAAGGAACCTCTCAGTTCTAGCTCCCAACTTGGGAGCTAATTTCCAGATTGTTGTCTTCTTAGGAGAAAATTGGTGAATCTGGGATGGCTATTTTAATGAGCTCCTGTGAGAAGAATAACGGAAGGTAGAAAATTAGTATCATCCACTCCTCCATCTAATAGGAACAATTTTTACATCACATTTTTATTATTACTCCAAATCATTCACCTTAGTCAGCATGGTATTCTGGTTTTTATATTCGGCTTAGTCATTTGATGAGGGAGGAAGGAACCAGTTGGGATAGTCACACAAGGATAGCCTGATGCAGTCCCATATTTCCTTCTATGTAAAAAGGAATTCCCCAACCTCTTTGGAATATCCAGGAGGCTCTCCCCTCCATTCTCAATATATTCATCCTCTCTCTCTCTAACTAATTCACATATTCACTTGTTCTCTTGATTGCTGTGCTCAACTTCTCATGTGTTGATTTACTCCTTTGTTCTCTGTTTATTGACTTCTTCATCTACTCATTTCAATAATAGTTGACTGCTTCACCTAGGCATTCATTGATTCATATGCACGTTCATTCTTTCCTCCAGTAAGCATTTACTGAGGACCTGCAAAGTGGGTTCTGGCTCTCAAGCTTCTCATAAACTGGTGAGTAAGGCAGGCATATATCACACAATAAAATACTCTCAGATCATTGCCATGGCCCAAATATTAAAAGTGAGTGTAAATATTAAATGAGCTTTTGGAGCTTGGTCTAATAGATTTGCCATATGGGGATGGCGAATAAGAACACATCAGGCTGCAAGAAGAATATCACAAAGGTTCAAGTTATGCAAGGTCTCAGCATGTTTAAGGAATGATAAATATCTCCATGTGGCTCAAGTGAGAATGAAATGGTGAAGAGAGATAGGAAGAAGATAAAACTCAAAGTCAGGACTAGGTTATGACTCTGAGAATTCATGATGCCATGTGAAAATGCTCAGACTATCATTTGAAGAAAATCTTCTAGAATGCCATGTGATATGCTGTTTACTGAGTCCAGATCTCAGAAAAGTTTGTGTGTTCCTATCATTAGCAATTGAGTAATAGCCTCTACTTACTTTTCTAGTCCTATTTTTATGGCCCTCTTACATTAACTATCAGTGTAGACACGAGGACTTGAGGACTTACAAGAAGAATATTTATTTAACCTCTACATGTTAGAAATACTTTACACAGATAGAGTTATGTCCTTAGAATGTCTTATGACTAAAGTTGCTATCCCTTTTCCCAGAAATCAGGGACATTACAAAGGTAGATTAAGCCAGGTAACTAGTTAAAAGGCCCTGGAGAAAGTAAATGTGAACAGCTAATCTTTCATCCTCCAGGAAGAGAAGACCACATCCAACTATAGAGATGGAATGAGAAGCAGATCATGTTGAAGATATTCCTACATAAGGTTGGAACCCCTAGACACAAGGAATGGGTGAATGAAGTTGTAGGCTGAGGACATGTCAGTGGCCATGAGAAGAACTGTGAAGACTCCACTAGGCTATGTTATATGATACTCAAGTCCTTTGCTGCTTGATGGAGCTTGGCTGGGTTCACAAAACCTAGCAAATCCTGTTGGGCATTCAAAAGACCACTTGGAAATGAAATGCAAGTGGATGCTTTTGAAAATAATTTCTGGACTTTTCATTCATGTCCAGGGAATGAACCAACTTAACCACATCAGCCTTCTCAAGATCTCATAACCCAAGCCATCTGGTTTCTTTTAGTTTATATGTTGCTCATGGGTTCCACCCTCTGCCATAAACCTCTTCTCTCTCCATCCATGCATTCTGAAGTTTTCTTTACTTATAACAGCCCAGCTCTGATGCCATCTCTTCTAATATGTGTCTCCAGAACCATTAAAGAGTCTACTCTAGTGGTCTCTCCTCTCTCTAGCTTCTCATCACTGTTTCTGACAAAGGTGCTAATTGGGCACTGGGAAGAACCAGCATAGCTGGAAATGACTTATTATCAGCATTATCCCATAATAAGTTAAAATAGCACCTCAGGTGAGCTAGAGATGAGTTAACACAGAGATTACACTCCAGTTGTCTGTAGCCTACACCAAGGTCAATGAGAGTCTAGGGTCAGTGAGAGTCTAAGGTAGCCTAAAATCAAGAGAGAGCTACAAGCAAGAGTTCCACTGGAAGTAAGAGGAGAAAGAGGTCCTTCAGGTGGCAGCCAATCTAGAGAGTGAGTAAGTTCATGTTGGGTGCCTCCCAGGAGTCACCATCCAGGGGTCCCTGTGTATCACTGCCATGTCCTGCCATTGGAGGTCACTGTTGACTCAGAAGTGCAGAGTGGTCTGAAAGGTTCCATTAGAATTGTATGACAATTTATGCCCTGCCCCCTCAACAACATCTCCCTCAAGAACACCCACTAAATACACAGATCACAGGTTCCCATTTGCTTTCCTGACAGGTAAACAAGAGACTGTAGCTGAATGAGGTCAGATATCATGCTTCAATTCTCTGCCTTGCTGTATTAGCAACTTACCCAGGAGTCCATTAGAGGCCAGGAGTTTGTCTCCAATTTTATAGTCTCTATCAAAACTGTACTACCAAGACAACCCTACTGACACAAAAGCAAAACCCCTCCCTCCTCCAGGTTCTGAGCTAAAGTTGATACAATGAATGTAATTAACCAGATCTTTTTGTCCAAGATGTGCTTGGTAGTTGATATGGATTGGTTGTGTCTCCACCCAAATCTTGAATTTTAGCTCCTATAACTTCCAAGAATCATGGGAGGGACCTGTTGGGGGGTAATTGAATCATGGGGCAAATCTTTTCCCATGCTGCTCTCATGATAGTGAATAAGTCTTATGAGATCTGATGGTTTTATAAAGGGAAGTTCCCCTGCACACAGTCTCTTGCCTGCCACCATGTAAGATGTGCCTTTGTTTCTCCTTTGCTTTCCACCATAACTGTGAAGCCTCCCCAGCCATGCAGAACTGTGAGTCCATTAAACCTCTTTCCTTTATAAATTATCCAGTCTCAGATATGTCTTCATTAGCCACATGAGAACAGAAGAATACAGTAGTTGACAACTAATTGTAATTGGGGTTTAAGGGTCATCCACTCTCTTATGTTCCCCTCAAATTCCAGCCCCCACCCATTCACCCATCTACTCCTTTATTCACATATCCATTTATGTATAACTGGTTGACTCACTTATTCGTTCATCACATTTTTTCATCCATCATTCATTCACTCACCAGTTTTGAATGGGTGACCTGGTTAAGGCATGTGCTGGGTACAATATTACAACAGGCTCACCATCTAGGAAATGAGGGCACAGAGTGAGAAGAAGGCAGGAAGTGGACTCCAACATATAAGCAAGTCATTTAAGCCAACGTACAAGGGGCATGCTAGAAATTAGCACCAAGTGCCCAGGGAACCCATCAGCCTTTTCAGCATTTAATGTAGTATTTTCAGAGAGTTCTAAAAAATTTAATACTTATAAACTCAAGATCCTTAAGGGAGAAAAAGAAAGATCAGAGAAGGAAAATAAATGTTAGCAATTGAAGGGTTCTAGAGGAAATCTCTTCCTTCCCACTCACTGGCTGAAAAGAGAAGGGAGAGCCCCAGCCGCTGGCACATGCTCCCCAGGCCAGTGTGCGGGTCAGGCTGCAGAGTCTCAGAGCAGGCACAGCAAAGGAACAATCACTAGCTCTCACCTGAGGACCCAGGCCCCTGGTCTCCTCATCTTGGACCTGGTACACAGGGGTCTCAATGCACAGTTGCCATAGCGATTTATTTTCTTACTCTAGAGTTGGTCTTTATTCACCTAGGTTTGGTCTCTGAACTTGTAAGACACAAAATCTGCCTTCCTAATTAGAGCCAACTTGTATATTTAGCATGCTTACCCTACCTTTATTGGGTCCTTAGAATCTATCCTACAGTTCTTGACAGTCCATAGGTTTCTATCAAAATGAATGGGAATTTGGACAACATAATTTCAAATCATGGTTCTTCACTTACCACGTGTGATCCCAGACAAGTTACCTAACATTTGCCTCAATTGGTTCATCTGTTACATAAAGAAAATTCTTACTAATAACAAATTAGCTTCATTGATCCCTCACTGTATCCTAAGCTTTTATTAAGCATGTTATATCACTCTTTAGAGAAAATTCTCAAAACATCTCTGAGGGAAATATAGCTTAGTAGATTATATTATTGCTCAGAAACATATATGCTTTCCCCCACTTTGTGTTTAGGGAGTAGAGCCTAATTCTCTCCTGAATGACCTTAGGCTTGGTCATGTGACTTGGTTTGACCAATGGGCCGCCACCATTGTGATGTCATCAGAGACTTCAAAAGTGCTTGAGATGGAGCCTGCCCTTTTGCACTGCTGCCATTGCCATGAGTAGACTATGGCTTAGCAAGCCCATTTGCCACACAAAACTGCAGAACGCATGGAGCAGAGCCACTCATCCAACCCAGAGACTGGCAGTGTGAGTAAGACCCAGAGCTGCTGCCCCCTGAAATCAGAACCCTTGGCAGAGCCCAGCCTAGATCAGACATGCCCCCGCTGAGTCACAGATGCATGCATGGTACTAAGCTGCTGGATTTTGTGATGGTTTGTTATGCACCAAAACTAATACAATAGCATTATTATAATCCATAAATCATAGACAAACACACTCGAGAAGAACAGGATTAAGTAAAGTGACCAAGGTCATTGAGCTAGTCACAGGCTGAACCAAACCTCGATCTATTAATCACTGCAGAAGTGCCTCCCTCTGAGTGTTGCCTCCTTTATAAGATGATCTAATCTGAGATTGTTATGAGAATAGGAAATACTAGTGCTAAACGCCTTGCCCAGAGCCTATTAATTTATCGAGGATGCTGCTACACGCCAGTCACCACCAGCAGAGCTTTGCATTAATAGTAATAATAAAGTCCAGGCGCAGTGGCTCAAGCCTGTAATCTCAGCACTTTGGGAGGCCGAGGCGGGTGGATCACGAGGTCAAGAGATCGAGACCATCCTGGTCAACAAGGTGAAACCCCGTCTCTACTAAAAATACAAAAATTAGCTGGGGGTGGTGGTGAGCCCCAGTAGTCCCAGCTACTCGGGAGGCTGAGGCAAGAGAATTGCTTGAACCCAGAAGGCAGAGGCTGCAGTGAGCCGAGATCATGCCATTGCACTCCAGCCTGGGTAACAACAATGAAACTCCGACTCAAAAATCATCATCATCATAATAATAATAATAAAATAATGGCCATTCTGGTGATTTATGGAATGGTGGGGCTGTCCTCTGCAGATCCACATGATTGTCTCCTGTAGACCATGGGGCAGAAGAAATGTATCCTACACATCTTGGAATGGCCTGGGATACTACTGTGTGTAGCACAGGGTAAACTCCAGAGCCACTTGCTGGAAAAATGTTTTAAAAATTAACGAGTATTTGGGTGCCTCTTTACGGACAAACAGCTTCCAAGAAGACCTGAGACAACAGTGAACCTTAACAGCTTTCTAATCTAAATTTCTTGTCTCTCTGTTATTGCATTCACTTCCCTAAAAAGAGCGTATTGGTTTTTCTTTTCTTTTTACTTGCCTCCTTTATACTCACAGACACAACCACACATACGTACTATTTTGTCAAAACAGTAGCTCAACAATAACATACTGCACCTTGGCAAACTCACGTCCTTGCTAAAATTACACCAAGCAAAGTTTGTTGTTGGTTACATTTTTTTAAAAGACACAATATCCCATCTCATCAGCTTCATTAGAAATCACTCCAAAACTTGGGCTGCAGTATATAGCACCGAGTGTACGCACGCACACACACACACACACTCACACACACACACACACGAAGCCTGCATTTTGCACCTCATGTAGTTCTGTCATATCAGTTGCCAACACAGAAGGGACACATGTCTGAGTCTCTTTGCTGCTCCAAATTGCACTGCAACAGGAATGCTTGCATCTTCTGCCTGGGATGGCTGTGTTTTTCCCCAGGGTCCAGAGAGAGTGTCACTGCCTTTGTGCTTTGGCTTGGCTGAGCGTGGTGGTTAGGCGTGCCCCTTACTTCCTGCAATGTGCCAAACAAGAGCTTGAGAGATCCATGTCCTTGGCAGTGCTGCAGCTTTGTCTGTAACACAAAGAGGAGAGGCTGGGATGGCGGGTGAGTAATTCCTGCCTTGTGGACCCGCAGTCTGAAAGTGTCAGCTAAAGCAGAGGTCATAACCCTGCTGTCCCAGGTGCTGAATTCATTCTGTGACTGTGACTTGTTCAACCTTATTATTTTTTCATTTGATCTAATATTTAAAATAGGAATTCTACCTCTGTGGTCTCAGCTTCTCTCAAAAGTTGGAAAATGAGGCAACAGTGGGCTCCATTTCTGTTTCTAGCCACAGTGGCTAGAGCTGTCAGGGGTGGAACCTTTCACACCTCCTAGACACTCACTCCCCATTAGGCATGGCCACAGACACCTGTCATCTCCCTTCAGTGGGGTTTGGTGTAGGCTTCTGACTATCACTGTGTGGTGCCCTGTTTATTCTTTTGTTTTCTTATAATAGAATATAATTCCCTTTGTCTGTGTCACTATCAATGGTAGAAAACATAAAAGATAAACTAGAAATACCGTGTTTTAGGAAACTGTGAATGAACACATTTCTTTGTGAGAATGGAGATGCTCCTAAGTATTCAGTATGAAAACCAGTGCCACCGTGTGTGGGAATACCTCCTCATGTCCTTGCTCCTCAGAGCTCTTGCTGACTTTCTGCTGGTGAATGCCTTTCCTACTCCCATTGGCAGGCAGGTGGCCCGCATGAATAGGGGGCAAACTTCTGTCCAAATTATGCCTTTGCAATTTCCCAGCCCTGAGACTTTGGGAAAGTCACTTAACTTCTGTGACCCTTGGTGCTTTTATCTATGAAAGATGAGTGACAGAACCTAACTCACAAAGTTATCATGTGGAGCCAATGAAATAATATGTACGGCTTACTGAGTAAGATTTAGGGACACGGTAGACCCCCAAATATGTATTTTCCTTCCCTCTCCAGGAATAAACAAATAAGTAGAAAAAAATAAATAGAAAAACACTAAAGCAGCAGCAACCATGAGCTCTTGTGAAACTTGAGTAAATTAAACAATTATCATCGAAGTAATTTTTAAACGGTGTTTGCTCTTTTTGCAGTACTGAATCAAATATGTTAGAAAAAATACTACACCACACACAGACACACATACCTATGCACAGGCACGCTGTGCAGCAGTGGCAGGTCTTCCCCAGAAGTCAGCCCCCTTTTCTTCCTCTGCATACACCTCACACGGCTATTTCACACTTTCAGGTCTCCCGGGCCACATGGCCACTTCTTGCCAATGGGACGGGCCCAAGTAATGAGTGTCACTTTTGCCAAGTCTTCTAAAAAGCGGTAGGTCTACTTCATACTCTTGTTCCCTTTCTTGAAACTCAATGCATTTGAAGGAAGCAAGATAGTAGGGGAGTTCAGAGTCACAGAACAGAATGTTCTTGGGTTCCCGCATCATTATATAGAGAAAAGCTGCCTGATGACCAAATATAACTATCTTGAATTTTATTTTTTATTGTGAATGAGCCTTTAAATATGTCGGGATCTTTTTTGTTTCAGTGACCAGTCTTAATGAATGCTTATGGAATCCACACACAGCACATGGTTTATGAGACTTGAGGTCTCTGTCTCTTGCAGAACATCGTGGCCACTCATCGAAGAACATTTGCTGTTTGCAAAGGTCTTTGAATCACATATGAGAATTGCCAGTGGGAAGATTTTTCAACTTTCACTTGTAGCCATCATCAATCAAAAGATTCCCATTAATCAGTCAGGTGGTCAACAAATATTGATTGAAGACTTATTTTAGAAGATCAGGAGTCAGGTTAAAGGAATAAATCAGAAAAAGAATCATTGCACTCAGGGGATTCACATTCCAGTGACAGTTGCCTGACTAGTTCTGATCATTCCATTCTGGCCCTCATTGGCTTTGGCCTCATCTGCCTTTGTATATGATTAACACGATAAGTCTTCTAGTGCAAACCTGCATAAAATACCTCCATAAGAGAGAGAGTCATAAAGGCTGCTGTGCCATAGATTTGCGTGCTGGATCTCAGCTTCACGGTTTTCCTTCTATATTCTCTTACTTATTAGAGAGGGTTGAATCTACAAACTACATTTCTCAGTCTCTAGTCATTTGACTTCAGCCCTGCTCTACCAATGAGATGCACTAGCATAAGGTTGGAAGGCAGGATAGGAGACTGAGGCTGACAGCGGATCTCAGCAAGACTGTCAGTAAGCCCAGCAGGTCTTTGTGACAGCAGGCACCTGGGATACTGCAGCTTTGATAGGAATTCCTGGGCTCTCTTGGGGATGTAGGCAGCAGAAACTCACAGACTGTCCCCAAGCACCTCTGCCAGGATGAATCAGCTCCAGCCATTTCATGTATAATGGCATCACTCTACTTCACATGTAACATCCATGGACAAGCCTGATTGGCTTAGCTCTAGCTCAGACCCACACCTTGGCTAGAGAAGGTCTAGCTACTCTCAAGGACAGACCCACCAGACCAGATCTACTGGAGGAATGGTATTGTCTGCAAATGCAAGACAGGATGCTAATAATAGAAGATACAAGAGAACGTTGATGGTGACTTCAGACATAAGTCCAGCCATACTATTACTCTGTACTCTGCTCAAAACCCTGCTGTGGCTCCCCATACTGTTTTGGGTTAAGTCTAACCCAGCATGGCCTACAATGAAACATGTCACCCACTCTCTTTCCTTGCACTGACGGTTGCTTCCCATGTCCTGCATTTAAGATCCAACACTTGTAGTTTGCTGAACATACTCTGCTGTGTCCCAGCCCTGTGCCTTTGTTTATGCTGGAGCACACTCGCCCTTCTCTCAGCCCTCCGCACTCCAACTTTTGTTTTTTGCTATTCATTGTTCAACCCCTAGTCCAAGTACCTTCTTCCCCAGAAGTCGTTTCTTTAGTTCCTTTTTAGGTGATTTTTTCCTCCATAGATGGTCTTATGCTTGTTTATATCATAACAATTATCAAACCATATGATAAAAGTCACCTTGGGACCCAGGATGGACAACAATTGCAACAATAGCAATGGTCAACATTTATTCATTCACTCAACAAATACTTATTGAACACTTTATTTGTTAAATACTGCTCCAGGCAGTGAACCAATGCATGTTCATTCAGTACCACCCACTGTGCAAAGATTGTGTATATTATCCTTAGAAGTATCTCTTAACATCAAGGAATGCTACAAGAATGATGCCAGCATTAGGCCCAACCCAGAGCTGCAGAAACTGAGGCTTGGAGAAGACAGTAAAAAATTCAGCAAATAAATAAGAGAGTACATAGATAGGGCTGTGTCTCCCACTATTGTACCGTAAGCTCTCTGAGAGCAGAACTTGAGTCTCTTACTCAGCTCTTTTTCTCAAGTGTTTAATATGGTATATGGCTAGGGTGATTCCACATCTTGGTTGGCCTAGCATAGTCATCTAATTTAACCTGTTATTACAACATAATCATGGATGTGTCCAGGTTTCCCTATGCTTGGCTCCGAGTGATCACCATATTAATGTTAGTTAAACTGAACAGAACATACCCAAGATATAGGAAGAAGTTGAAATTAAGATGTAGACCTCATTCCCAACATCAGAACTCTTTCCAACTAGTTTCTCAAGGGAGTTATGAGTAGACTTAATATTCGAGCCATCAAAGAAAAGGAAACCATAGATAATCTGACTCGCTCGGCTAGGAAGAGACCCTGCCCTTACCTACTTCCTCACGGTCATTTTAGAGATAAAGAATCTGGGCCAGGCACAGTGGCTCGTGTCTGTAATCCCAGCAGTTTGGGAGGCCGAGGTGGGCAGATCATGAGGTCAGGAGTTCAACCCAGCCTGGTCAACATGGTGAAACCCCGTCTCTACTAAAAATACTAAAATTAGCCAGGCATGTTGGTGTGCACTGTAGTCCCAGCTACTCAGGATGCTGAGGCAGAAGAATAGCTTGAACCCGGGAAGCGGAGGTTGCAGTGAGCCAAGATCGCACCACTGCACTCCAGCCTGGGAGACAGAGTGACACTAAATAAAAAAAAAGAAAGAAAAGAAAAAGAATCTGCACCCAGAAAGGTCAACTGAGCTGTGATAAACAAGGGAAAATCCATGGCTGGAATCCCATCTTGGAATCCTGTCTTCCACACCAAGCCCAAAGCTCACCCCAGCACCCATGGACCTCAGCTTGCCATCCTCCCTCATGCCTACAGGTCTTTGTTCACATTTCTTCTTTCTGGAGCATTTTTGCGTATATTGGAAGTGTTTGATGAAGTTTAAATAATCCCACTCATTCTTTAAATTTTCACTCCTGTGGCCCAAAGGCTCAGTCCTATGCCTTCTCTCCTCCTATTTCTAAGATTCACCCCTTCCTTCAGGTTTCTCAGAGATAAGAGATAAAGTAACTCTCAGAGGCTGCTTTGTCCCTAGAAGGAAGCTCCCTCAGGGCAGAACTCACACCCCAGATGTCTCTGCTCCCCACCCAAATCCTCCCACCACCCTGATACTTGGCATGAGCTATTACGGCATTGAATAAAATAAAATATAACTCTAACTCTATTGTTTCAAAATTAAACTTTCGGTCTCTGTTGACATCATGACTTTTTTCTTGTCACAGATTTGAGATTCGTATTCAATACATTTATGATTCATAGACTTTAATTTCCATGGTTCTGTTCACAGATGTTCCCTCAATACCATCCTGGTGTCAGGCAAAGTCCTGGGTGCTGCAGGGCCTCTGTCACTCCCGTGGGAGAGTCAAGTGGGGAAGACACACCAGTCCTTAAATGATTCTATTGTGCCGTGATACTTTTCTGCCACAAAACCTGCAAATATATTACATGTTTTCAGTTATGACACATGGTAGATAGTGTCCTGTGTTGGAGGACTTAAGGAAGGCTTCATTGAGGAGGTGACTTTGAACCTGTTTACTGAAGGATCAGCAGAACGTTTCTGTGAAAGATTAATCCCTGTGGGAACTATGTAGTCAATCCATGCAAGAAAATACTTGAGACCTTTTAGTTATTTTTTGAGTGTTGCTCATTTTATTAGCCACCAGGATCCACAAAGGCTAAAATGTTTTCCACCAGTCTACGTGACTTATCCTGTGACTTTTTACCCAGTTGGCCAAGAATTCCAGTTACCTTCTAGATGATAAAGTGAAGACACTTTTCTGGGATTTTACTGCCAACATGGATGCTTGGTAATCTCTTACCTTTCATGTGGTAAAATGAAAGACCTTCCCCAACTCTCCAACCAAGGCCCAGCATCACCCCAGCCAATTGCAGTTTCTTACTAGTTGTATGGCCCAGGACAAGTCACTGACCTTTCTTGAGCATCAGGGTTTTCATCGTTAAAGTGGAATAATAAGGATGCCTACTAATTAAGTTTAGGAATTAAATGACACAGAGCACAGAAAGATCAAGAGTCATGTCCAGCACATATTCCGTGTTGTACACGTGTTAGTTACCAGGCAAATAACTGTGCTGAGGACAAGTCATTGACCTTTCCTGAGCATCAAGGTTTTCATCATTAAAGTGGAATAATAAGGATACCTTCTAAGTTTAGGCATTAAACGATACAGAGCACAAAAAGATCAAGGGTTGTGTCCAGCACATACTCAGTGTTGTGCATGTGTTAGTTATCAGGTAAATAACTATGTCCATCCACACCATCACCATCTTCATCATCATCATCGTCACCATTATCATCACCATCACCACCTTCTCCATCATCCTGGTCATCATTATCACCATCATCATTGTCATCATCCTCAGTCATTATTATGTCATCATCATCATTGTCATCATCCTCAGTCATTATTATGTCATCATCATCATTGTCATCATCATCGTCACCATTCTCATCATCGCCATCATCATTGTCATCATCCTCAGTCATTATTATGTCATCATCATCATTGTCATCATCATCGTCACCATTCTCATCACCACCATCATCATTGTCATCATCCTCAGTCATTATTATGTCATCATCATCATTGGCATCATCATCATCACCATTCTCATCATCACCATCACCATCTTCTCCATCATCCTGGTCATCATCGTCACCATCATTGCTGTCATAACCATCACCATCTTCATCAATCATCATGAGCATCATTGCTGTCAACAACAATAACAGCATCATGACAACTGCAAACTGAGCACTTACACTTCAGGGGTCACACCTAGCAATGTACACACTTCATTAATACAGTTCTCTCCAGTATTGCCCATTTGACCCACAAGGACACTGAAGGTTGAAAAAGTTAAATCATGTTCTAAAGTAGTAAATGACACAGAAAAGGCAAATGTGTCACCTATGTCTACACAAGTCTAGTCCCTTAGGTACAAGGTCTTTGGTCATCCCAGATGCTCCATGAACCCCACTGAAATGGAAATGCCTGAATCACATTGCTCACCTCGTTTCACTGAGGTTTTTCCCACGAACCTCAAACTATTACACTGAAAATTTTGCCATTTCCTGGTGACGTGGTTAAGCTTTGTGTCCCCACTCAAATTTCATCTTTAGTTATAACCCCCAGGTGTCAAGAGGGAGACCAGGTGGGAGGTAATTGAATGATGGGGGCAGTTTCCCCCATGCTATTCTCATAACATTGAGTGAGTTCTCACAAGATCTGATGGTTTTATAAGTGTTTGGGAGTTTGTACTGAAATCATTCTTACTACCCTGTGAAGAAAGTGCCTTGCTTCCCCTTTGCCTTCCACTATGATTTTAAGTTCCCTGAAGCCTCCCCAGTCATGCTGAATTGTGTCAATTAAACCTCTTTCCTTTATAAATGACCCAGTCTTGGGCAGTTCTTAATAGCAATGTGAAATGGATGAATACCCCTGGCATTGGTGGGTGTCCAGCTGAGTTTTCACAGAGCCCTCAGTGAGCCTTCTGGCTTCTGGGTGGGGGAAGGAGGAGATTCAGCATCAGGACTCAGATTACAGAGAAAATTCACCAGTTCCCACAAACCTCTGGAGATAGATCCCTTATAGGTTCATGGTTGAGCCCAAAGTTGGACAAGGTCCACATGCCCAAATTCACTGGGTTACCCATGGCAGTGCAGCCTGCCAGGTGGAAAGGCCCACCCTGTGCCCACCCCTTAGCAATTATAATTGTTCTTTATAATCTATACAACCCTCCAGCTCAGATGAGGAGCTGCCATGTACCCCTCATCTCATTCAGTCCCCAATCAGGCTGGGCTGCAACAGAAATGCTACCATCTCTCCAGGAGAGGAAACCAATACACAGAGGGTTAAACATTTGCCCTGGGTCACTCAGCCTCTCAGTCCAAGTGCTGAGGCATGCCCATGGCTCCTCTCCCACCACAGCTGTTCTGTTAGGGAGAAAGTACTGTCAGAGGCCACCTTCCCCACCTTCCTCACAAGGACTTTCTCCTTGGTGCCAGGGGACAGTTGGCCAAAACGAATCTGCACAGCTTCCAATGCTAACAATAAGCCTTTCCTTAGGGACACTGAAGGACTGCCTTGGCATCAGGGCCCACTCTCATATTCTACTGCCTGAATCCAGAAAAAAAAAGATGGAAGAAATTACTGCATTGTTCTTTTGGACTCAATTGTGTCTCCCCAGAATTAATACTTTGCGAAGTCCTAACCCCCAGTCACTCAGAGTGTACCTGTATTTGGAGACATGGCCTTTAAGAAGGCAAGTAAGGTTAAATGAGGTCCTGAGCCTGCAGCTCTAACCCAATTGGACTGCTGTCCTTACAAAAAGAGAAAGAGACAAGAAG